ACATCACTTCAACGCACCCTAATTGGACTGTCTCTATCTCCATATTACTGTATGTTGCCTCCCACTGTGACGCCACCCAGGTGGACAAAGCTGCGGACCGGCTTCTATACCCAAGTCTTCTGTTATGATTTAAAGCAGGAGTTTTAGGTATTTAGTAAAGTTGGAGATAAATAAAAAAAGAAGATGGAAGTAATTACATTGTTTTTGAAAGTCAGGCTTAAAGCTTCTCCACAGAGTCGACCACGTTGGGCGACTTTTGCAGTGGAGCCCTATATATATATAATTTATATATGTAAATTCAAAAGTCAGCAGTGATTCGAGTCCAAGTTCAATTCAATTCCAAGTTATTTATTCCTAATAGGATTAGCTGCAATTAACAACTAAGTAGCTCGTCATTAGGACCAGTTCCCTCCTCACCTCCAGGGGGAGCCCAAGAACCAACATTAGTATGCATACTAATGTTTGAGGAAACACCGTTGTAGGTTAGTTGACAGTTGTGCTATAAAGTTCAACCTCTACATGCAATTGTACCACTAGATGTTGCTAAATCCTAAAAATTGGACCTCTTTACATACTTTCCCCAAATTAGACGAATAGATCACTGGTTTGATCACTAATAATACCCCTGTATGTAGTTTGCATGTAACTCTTCGGTTCTTTGGGGTTACTACTTACACAGTGCTTCACATATACACCTCTAATACTAGGTCGGGGCCAATAAGTGGAGTATATTTTGCCATATATATATAAAAAATATATAAAATATATATTATTTTTCCACTGCACCTGCAGTGTGTTTGATACCTTCAGATTGTCTTTAGAATTTTAAGGAGGGATAATATTGCCACCTGTTGGCAAGTTAGGCTATAGACAACCCACTGCAGTTCTGCAACATTTACTTTGAGGCGGCCGGTTTTGCTCGTAATTAGTCAATGACCTAGGCTATAGCTAGGCTACCTTTTGAAATTATCTTAGTAATAATTATTCTTTCTTCCCATTTGGGTTCTAATTTGAATTTTTGTTTTTATCACATTTACTGTTTCACTGTAAATATTGTCTTTTATAGTCTGGTGTTTTTCATCTTTATTACGCAACACTTTTTTGAAACCTTTGGTGTTGTCAGTCACACTATATGCCATCTCCCATACTTATTTGCTTAGTTATCCTCATGGGGAGTTTTTTAAAAAATATTTATAAATTGGACCTTTAAAGTACAAAATCTTGAAGAAAATGTCAACTGACTAGTTTCTTTCTTATGGTGGACTTTATCAAACCAGTAGGATTCCTTCAGGGGTCGTTCTTCTGCAATCATAGTAGCCTATGCAACCAGCCATGTTTATTTATAAACCTGTGCATCTGGTAAGATTGCAAAATTAGAAGCTGTTCATACTGGTTTTACTGGCAGTTGGAACGCCCTCAAGTGCGTTTTTAAAAAAATCAAATCTAGCCCAAGAGCATAAGTTAAGACAGGAAGTCTTCCTTCTCAGACCATAAAAAGACAGGACATATTCTACGCATATTCTACGTCTTTGATAACATGCTTTGAAAGCAGATTGTTCAAAGTTAAATCTAACTAAATATTCTTCAAAACACAATTATTTTAGGCAAGTGGTATATTATTTCGATGTTTTATTATTTGCAACACTGAACAGGAAAGATCGATAAACGAAACCGTACCTGTTCAAGTGTTGTTTCATCTTTTAACATAATTGAAAAGCTACATAATGGAATCACGTAAAATGTCATACTTCATCAGTCGTTGGGAAAAAAATCCCTGCACTCACAATATACACCTTTGGTGGCAGTAAAGTGCAATGTTGCTGCTTTTAAGACCTAAAATAAACACAACGAAGAAGACAAAGGGGCGGATGACGACCACGAAAACGACGACGACGAAGCCGACAGACGCCATTTTGTTGTCAAACAGGAACAGCACAAGAGGGTTGAGAGGCGCAACATAAAGGTACAAACTTTATCTTCTAAGCATAGCATATCTGATTTAACCATAAGATACTTAAATTTAAACGAATGAAGAGGACATTTGTCTTTAAAATTTGTCGATAACGGGAGGCAGAGTTTGGTCACAATTGTTAAAAGTTAGTTCTATGTTTCCTTAGCAGTTAAACTTTAGCCCAGCGTAAGAAGTTTTAAAACATTTTCCAGTAGATAATAAATATGTCATTTAGCAAATATGTCGGAACGCTGCGTGGCAGTTTTAATCAAAAGCACATCATAGCCCCATAGTTTTATTTACATTTAAAACCGCACTGTGTCAATATTAAATGAGCTAGCCTAGCTTTCAGCTCTTTGCTATTTGGTTATCAATTATTCAGATCAGTTCATGTTTCCTTAATAGTACTCAAACGTGTATAGCATGCCAACTGCTGTGTAAAATATAAACTTGGACAAAATCTATAAAATGAAATCCGTGCTTTTTTTTATTGTTATTACAATTTTCACAGAAACCGCAGATAATCCCGGCAGAAGATGTGTAGGTGCGATACATGACGTCTCGCAATTAGATAGAAAGACAGACGGATAGATACAAGTTTATTAATCTATTGGGAGTTCGCTTTGGGGAAATTAAACTCCAGCAGCAGTACAGCACCACAACAACAGGAGAATATGTGCAATAAAATACGAACATACCACCATAAAAGAATACAGAAAACCTGAACAGTGGATATTAGTAGCTTAGTAGTCATAGTAATAGTAGACGTGTATTTTTTCCTGGGCAACAACAATGTAGTTTTATTAAACACATAACCCACATGTATTCTAAAACTAACCTCTATGTCACCCAAATCCTCTTGTATCCTTTTAACAAGAACTTGTTATTCCTGTTTACTCAACAGGGAAGCCATTGGATAAAGTCATCTGTATTTGTCTGAGCACCTGAGTGTATGCTTACTTTACTGGTGGTTGAATGAAGTACAAATAGGAAAGCATAAGTTGTTATTGCACGTTTACACAGTGGTGCATTCATTTAGTTTACTTCACTTGTAGCCTATCTAACCTTATCTGTCATGGCTGTTAACCTTATGTCTTGTTTTAGTATTATTTCAGATTAATGTCCAGTTGCCCAATATAGGCATTTTTAGGCTAACTGAGGCATGTCCATTGTTGACACTGTTGACAGTATACAGTTTATCAGTAAAACTAAGGATCAAATGATAATAAAGAACAAAGACAAATTAAAACCCTCTGCATAGTGAACGCAGCAAGCTGAACAGTGGTTTCACCAATAATGCCTGTCTTTAATACACTGGCTCTTGCTGTCCAGTAGAGGTGCAACAATCGGCCAGTGGTTATTGGCCAGTTTTTGGCATGGCTGGTGACTGACCGCTTACACAAATTGCTAGTAATGCAACTGATCATTTTGTGCATGCTGTTTATGTTGGAGAACAAAAGAGGTAGCTTACGCTCACTAGCTGAAGCTAAAGTGCTGTTTTACCATTTAAATGCTTCATCTATCTTCTCTGTTAAGCTGAAGAAACATTAGCTTATATGGAGCTATAATGCATCAACACGTGTTTTGTTATACTGCTTGTGTCATTACAAAACAAATCTTACAGTAATCCTTGCCCCTGTCTTTGTCCTTAATTTTTTAAATGCCTACAAACTGCTGACATTGATGTTCTGCTTAAATAAACTACCCATGAGGGTAATGATACACTGAACTGCAGTAAGAAAACACTAGACTGGCTGACTGGTGCGCAGCTGGTTGTGATGAAAAGCTGTTACCGAGTGTTGGGTTACTGGATAGGTGCATGTTTTTAACTACAAGAATAAGAATTTTTAATAAAGTTTTGGGTCTGATACATACTCACACTAGTATCAGTGTATCCATAGTCCTCTGTGTCAACTATAAGAAAGTTCAGTATCTTTGGTAAAAATTGAATAATTTTCACCTTTCACTGTGAAATTATTAATTAATGAAGTTACCTAATTCTTTTGTCATTAGATTATTTTTTCGTATAGTTTTTTGTTTTTGTTTTAAACAAGACACAATACTCAAATGCATCACAATAGTCATAAATATTGTTTTATTGCTATGGTAAATTTACAGTTTTTTTATACTGCCTAAAAAGAATACAGTCTGTTATGATGTAGACAATCTAGGTTATTATTTTTGGTTATGTATTTATTTTTATTTCTTCTCCAATTTTTTACAAATTAATAAGCAGTGCTTAATACTGTCGCATAAGGGTTATTTACCCTTTCCTTCAATTCCTGTCCTGAACCAGAATTAAAGTTCCAGCTGAAGTACTATCTATAAATGCTCACTTTCGGTTTCTCACTTTTTGTTCCATTTGTACATTTGCTTTATCTGTTTTTTTGTAGTAAAGGTTAAACACGTGACATGTGCTCCATACTACAGTGGAAATGTAATATTATTTAGCTGGTTAACTTATAATGCTAGCTTATTGTACGCTGTACACCTGTAGCTTTTTTGTAGGTTATTCACTTTTTGATGGATAGCATAGGAAGAGAGAAAACCATCTGTAAACTCCATGTCGTGCACATCCCTATGTGGGCAGGCAAAGTGTGATGGAATTTTTGTCATCAGCCTCCCAGCAGATTTAGGTTTCAGCTTACACATGAGTAATGCAGCCACAATGTTCCACCCTTTATTCCAGTGTGACCTGCTCTTTCCCAAGCGAGACAAAAACTTTTAAGCCAAAATTAGCAAACAAAAGAGTGTTTTCTCTTCAACGTCATCATGGAATGGTTGTCATCCCTGTTCACTGGAAACAGAAATAGTAAAAGTCTTTACAAGCATATAGGTTTGAATGCTTCGCACTGTATATACTGATAGCTAACATTAGGTAAGCGCATGTACAATGAACTGTGAACCAAATTTGCTTGTTAAGATCAACAGAGAAGCAGCAACCTAAAGTGGTTGAACAGTAAAACTTGACCACCTACTAACTTTACATTGTCTTTTTTAGGCAAGGTAAAATGGGTATTTTTAACTCCGCCTTCGCAAAACTTTTTGGAAAGAAGGAGATGCGAATCCTAATGGTAGGACTGGATGCTGCTGGAAAGACTACTATCCTCTATAAGCTCAAACTAGGAGAAATTGTTACCACAATCCCTACCATTGGTGAGCCCTTTCTACAGATCTTTACATTTGTTTTACTGACCCACACAGCTTCAAAACTCTTTCGTGAAATTAACCTTTTTGTCTTTTTTTTTGTCTCCGCGTTCAGGGTTTAATGTTGAGACAGTGGAATACAAGAACATTAGTTTTACAGTGTGGGATGTGGGCGGCCAAGACAAGATCAGGCCCCTATGGAGGCATTACTTCCAAAACACACAGGGTAAGGAGCTCTCTGGTGTTTCCACATCTTCAGAGTCATGTTGGAATAACACCAGAAAATGGTTTATCGCTCCACTCTCTTTTGCTCTCTCTCTCTCTCACATGACAAGTGCACACGTTCCTCACAAACACTCTGCTTCTTTCTCTTTTTCAGGCCTCATCTTCGTCGTAGACAGTAATGACAGGGAGAGAATTGGTGAGGCTAAGGATGAACTTTGTCGGATGCTGTCTGAAGATGAGCTCAGAGATGCTGCGCTACTTGTGTTTGCAAACAAACAGGTACATATGTATTCCCATTCACTGGTAGTAGTAGTGCAACAAAGTTTCTTTTTGATATAACCTGATGTAATGATATGGGTTATTACCAAAGTTTCTTTTTGATATAACCTGATGATATGATATGACAGCTCACCGACAAATGTCATTGTCTTGTATATTTATGGTTTTCTTGATTGTACTTGTATTTACAAGGAAAATTGATAATGTCTTGTTTCCTGTAGGTGGGATCCTAATTTACATATATGTTCACTGGTATTGTGCCATTATTATAAATCTTTGGCGCAGTCTTCATGATTTATGGATCGAACCGTGATCACGTGTTATTATACTACACGATTTGTTCAATATGATGTGTTTTCCGTTTACAGGACCTGCCCAATGCCTGTAATGCGGCTGAGATCACGGACAAGCTGAATCTACACAACATGCGCAATCGTAACTGGTACATCCAGGCCACATGTGCAACCAGTGGTGATGGACTCTACGACGGCCTCGACTGGCTTTCGGTCCAGCTAAAGAATGCAAAATGATCAGCGTCACTTCTTCTTTTCTTTCATCTCTACAGTGTCACGGGAGGTCACACTTGTCTGAGTCTAACGTACTCCCTTCCTCTTTACCCCTCCCTCCCCTCCTCTCTTTCTCTCTCTATCTATCCCCTGAAGGGTGGGACCATATGTCAGATCTCCCCTGCATCTATGTACTGTATGGGTCTTTTTTTCTTGAATGAACGAAGGCATGACTGTCTGTGTACATGTGTGAATAGAGTGGGAGCAGCCCTGCTGTGCCTTCATCACCGTTCCTCAAACAACTCTCCTGACGTCCACCGTCTGTCCACCCAAAAGTTACCAGTCTTTGTCCTCTGTTACAGATGTTTGTTAAAAAGAACACTTGCTTCTGGCATTAAAGCCTCTTGGGGGGGGGGGGGGGGGGGGGAAGGTTTACTCATGCTGCGAAGGTGATGTGTAAGTACACATTTCTTTAAATAAAACGTCTGACATTCAAGATGATCTGACATTCTGTGAAGTCTGTTTTTATTTATAAGCATATTGTAATTTCAGCAGCAGCAACAGGACATTTAACTATAATTTTAGTTTTTCAGTGTTGATCTGTTCATCTTGTCTGATTTTTTTTTTTTTTTTTTACTAAATCATCCAACATTCATAATAACATTTTCTAATTATCAGTCGAACGAGGGCTTCCAGGAGTTGCTCCCACTCTGGTGTTGTGTGGAATTGTGGTTTTGTTTTATCTCTCGTTTGTTCTTTTGGTTAATGTCTTATCTTCCTTATTTCTTGTGTTTTAATTCCTGTCGATGCATGCCTGACCTGACTAACTCCAGCATGAGCTGCTGTGGTAGGTGTGTATATCCTTCTAACTAAAATTATTTTGGGACCACCGAGATTGATTTAGGGTTTGTCTGGCGACCACTGGGTTGTCATCTTTTTTATTTCGGGCCTCCGAGGAGAAACGTGTCCTCTCGACTAAACAGTTGGACGTTGCAGTGTAGAAAAACTCTGTGCTTCAGGCTCTGTTCAGGCGGCTCTAACACGGCTTGTACAATGTCATGTAGTTCCCCACCTAACACGCTGATCCTGACGTCGTCCTATGGTTAAATCAAAGGCAACCTTGACATGAGTATAGATGATGTTGACACTGTTGATACTTCTGAAGTAAACATTTCCCCATATTATGTTTTCGGCTTTCTGTGTCTTTCCATTATGATATTTTCCTTAATCATCTGTAGATGCATTACTTACCTAATTAGGCATATGGCAAGAAATACAAATGTATATAATACTAATGTAAGAAGATGTGTTTTGAGGGAACTGCATCCACCTACCCGTGTTCAGATGTGAAGCTTTAACTTTTCGAGACAGTTTCTGTACAAATGACATGGCATGTGCATATGTATTTCTTGATGCTTTTTATGCTTTTTTAAATCCAATGTAACAGCTGATAAATGCACTGTAATAAAGAGATCTCTATTGTACACATTCTGAACAGACGTTCAACTTCTTGGTCTGTTAGGGGTCGCTGAGGGACCGGATTTACTGGCAAAAAAAAGTGAAATCAAGCTAGTATGGAAAGTCACGCTAAGGGGTAAAAACAGTTATGCCACTAGTTGGGGCAATAATTCTGAAATATTTATTATTTGTCCTTTAAATGCTCCTGGAAGTAGTCAACCTTAGCAGAAGAAGAAGTTTCTTTCAGCTTGTCCTTTTAAAGAGCTGCACAGCACTAGTCTTTAAAGTAAAAAGGGAAGTCATTCGGCTGTATGCCCTTCATGAGTCAGCTCTTGGAGGTTTAGCGGTCAGGTCACACAGACAATGAATAGGCATATAGTTGTCCATTGTGTTGCGGGTGAGAAACTTCAGAGTCGTGTCGTCCGAAGGAGTGATAAATGTTGGTTACTTGTGCCTTTTTGTGATGGTCAGTTTGTATTTTGAGTGTGGAGTTGTGGGTAAACCTAGGAAGTGCTCTGGCAAAATCTAAGCGCTGTTGGAGGTATTTGATGTAGTGAGGTCGGTGGAAGGTGACAGAAGTCAGAAGATGGTTTTATGTTGTGTGTTAACTTAAGTTTAGGCAGTAGGGCTGCCTGATCCTAAAGAACGGACTGGAATCAAATGTAAGGTGAAAGTAAAGAGTCAGTGGTTTCATTGAAAAAAAACACGGAGTTTTTGGCAAATTAAAGCAATGGTGTCAATGAAAATAATGCAGGTTTTAACATGATATACATTATGTGCGTTAAATACATTATATTTTTTATGATTGTTTTAAAACAAGCTCTAATACTCCAATTCGTTTAAAAATGATCAATTATTTTATTTAATTATCATTTATTTACTATTACAAAAATGTTAAAATACCAGCCTCCCCTCAAAGATTAAATAAAATGTAAAGTTACGGGGTTTTATAATTAAAAAATAGATTACTGAAGTAGTGCAGCTTGCAGTTCTGTCCGTTAGAGGGCAATAGAGGCTCAGTATTACACTTAAATCAACAACGGAGTCTAGACGCTTTTTCATTCAAAACGGCTCTGTGACCCACTTCTGTGCTACGTACTTTAGTTTACGTGGACATACATTCTACATTTACAGGATATCATTTGAGGTAAACAAGTATTTAGTGTCGTAAAATGTGAATTATAAACAGGAAACAAATAGCAAATACTTACCCTAAATGCATGGCTCCTCATGTATAGTAAGAGAGACAACATAAGCTCAGCCACAATAGACTCACATAATACAATTCTAAATAATAATTATAAAAAAATAATCTAATGTGCTACAACTGTTAAAAAAAAAAGATTGCAATTGGTGGGGATACACCTTCACCCTCCTTTCCCGCTCACTCTATATTCAAGGTAGCTAACACTCGACGGAGTTGTTTCCGGGGAAACGGCACCTTATGTATTTATAGTAAGTAATTGATGTGCTACACAGAGGGAGCAGGACGGAGAAATAGAGCGATACAGGTTAAGTTTGGCTTCGGTTACAAGACGCTCGGCGTAGAAATTTGATCAGTGGTCATTTATTTTCGCTTTCGGTTTTATAAAAATGAAGTGATCTTAACTCGGTGCTGCTGGGCTGGAACATTTTCTCCTGGTCAACGAATGCCGGTCGCTGTTTACTCACTGCACCTTTTATTGATCTCAGTCTGATGATAAATAAAACCAGAAAAAAAAGCATAAAACCTGCTTATGACCTTTTGACCTGCAGCTCTCTAGGGATTGCCGGATCCTTCCTAGGACGTGAAATCACAGCTTATGTTGTTTTAAATCATACCAAAAGTTGATCAATAAGCATAAAAGAAAGCAATGACGTGCACGAAACATCCGTTTTAGATCATCTCTCCTACAGGGGATTGATTTGTTTGATTGATTTGCGCTCGGACTAGCAGTCCACGGCCGTGGCAGCCTCAAACTGAGTCGCACACACACTGCAGGGGTGAGTTCCAGCGAAGTAGACTGGTAAACAAGCCCCGCCTCATGTTCTACTCTTGAAACCCTCTTGGAACCAAATGATCTAAATACCTCAGTCCCCCTGATAATAAAGAGTGCTGAGGCCCAGCACTAGATGTTTCTGTATTAACCAATCAGCAGTTAGCCGTGATGTCCAATTATAATGTTACGCATCGGTAAAGAAACGTTGCAGTGATAAAATCATAGATATAGATTCTACTGTTATCTTTCGTGCTCGTAAAGTTTCACTGTGTGTGTGTGTGTGTGTGTGCGGTTCTTGGCGTGCAAAAGTCACAGAAGGTGCTCAGCAGGGTGGGAGGTTAGATTCTGACAATCCACCCACACATGGCAAAGTAAACGCGTGTTTACGAGTTCACTGCTGACCTCACTGAACTGTGGTTTCTCAGTAGATGATAACAAAGTTTATGACAATATATGTATCAGGGAGTGGCGATATAGCTCAGTATATATATTAATTAAGTCTTATGTGCATTATTTTAAGTAGCTAGCTAATGAAAAATTTCAATTTTTTATAGTTTATCACTAGGGTAGGAAGATGTCACCTCCCAACCAGATGGCTGGGATTTCATTTCTATTCCAGTTAGGCATCATTGTATCTCCCATTCCCAAATATGAGAGGCCAATGTTGATTTGATGCTGTTGCTGAGCCTCAAACATGATAGTCGGATCAGATGGTGGAGCCAAAATAGAGAAAAATATCAGCCTCACTATTTACAACAAGCCACTGGTCATTTGAAGGTAGTGCACACAACTCTGTGGTCACCTCACTTAGCTCCTCCCTTAGCCCCTCCCCCTGCCGAATTAGCTCCTGGTGAGTTCACCTCTGGTGGTTCAGGTGCTGAGTTCCTCTGCTGCTGCTCTGTTCGGTTGTTTTGTTTGTTACTTTTGTTCTCATTGGATTTTGGATAATGGTTTGTTCGGATCAAGTTTCCCTTTTGATTGGCCTGATTTGCTCATTTCCTGTAGCTTTGATTTGCACTTTTGGTCACGGTTTATGAAGTTTGAGTTCTTGATTCGACACTGGATTGGATTGGACTCTTTCATGACAAAAAAGAGTGAAACTCCTCTTCCTGCGTTTTCCTCAATTCCCGTGAGTATATCTGCGTTGTGTTCAACTAATCAGGCCATAAAATGGGTGTACGTTGTAGCTAAATGACCACTATATTTGTTAATGCAAATATTTTTGTTTGGTGGTATGTGACGTGGCAAATTTAAGTTAACTGCATCAGCTGACTCTCACCTTGTTGAACCATTTTATGAGCTTGATATCTTTCAAAATCTGTGGTGTCATTTAACATTATTTTTGTGTTTTGTTTTTAATTATTGTACTATGACAAGCAATTTGTTGTGCAAAAGGTTAGGGACATATTTATGCTTGATATCTTTGTCTTTAAGATGTGTCACAGATAGAAGTTACTCAATGATACTGCAATAATTCAGGTGAATGACTGTGAAGTCCTCGGCGCCACCTGGTGCCATTTTCACGTCGTGAATCCAAACACCTTAAAGATGGAGTGATGTTCTTACAACCAAAGTTATATTTTTAAAAAATAAATACAATTTTTTAATGTATAAAAAATAACTCAACTAAGATTCTTCTTGTAGTCTGTGCCGTAAACATAAATCAGATTAACAACAAACACCCAAGAAAAAAAATACACAAGACGTTACACCCTATGTAGAGAAACATTTCTGAATGTTACTCACACTGTTTGACAAATCAAACCTTTGGAGCAATGTGTTTCCTAAATCCATGATGACACAAAAGCAGAAAGCCAACCTGGCAACCCAAACATAAACCAACGTCTGTGTTTCTTCAACAATAATAAGTGAAATAGTTTGGGTGTGACTTTCTTTTTGGCCTAACTGGCAGTCCAATAACTGAGCAGCTGGGTGTAAGGCAGCTAATGTTGATCGCTCCACCATCTGGCCTCAGGCCGTATATATACAGTATATACAGTGTGTGTAGCAACAATAAAGTAGCAATGTAATTTTTATGGGACGAAGTGCGTTCCAAACAGAGTTACTAACTCAGCAATTTGAACCTCCAGTGTCAAGTTTCAGGAACAGAGCAAACATCACTACAGAAAAAACACCCAACAAAGACGGTTTATCGACCGTTGTTAGAGCGCCTGCTGGTGGTGACATGGTGGAGGTCGTCCTGTGATTTATCCAACCATGATTTTAACCACTGACCTCTTGGCTCAACAGCAGTGACGCTAATCACCTTTCCACCAAGTGGCTTTTGTGCAGCATTGTCAGTTTTCCACACTAGGTGTTTAAGCAGCAGCAGCAGCAGCAGCAGATGTAAATTTTATTAGCAGTCAAAGTGCGCTCATGATCGCCACAAAGCTGCTAGCTCAGCGACTTGGAGCTCTGCAGTGTTTATCTATCTTGTCAAGAACCCCGAGGCAACGCGTGCCATTGGAACCCTTTTATTCTCCGCTGCCGTTTTCTTCAGCGGCGCGTGTCCGTGCTGTTGCAGACTGTTGTGTAGCATATTGGAGTCGAGAGTTGATGATGTTGTACTTGGATCTAATTTGGGACTGGGAATAAATGTATGGATACAATTTTTGGTTAGCTACATTTATTGTTAATTTCTATGCAGGCTAAACATCAATTTAAATCATGTTCTAGGACAGGGGTCTCCAACTTCTGGTCCGGGGACCGGTGCCGGTCCGTGGGTCATTTGGTACTAGGCTGCAGTGGGAGCCAGCGGAAAAAAATGTACTTCAGTTTTACTAATTTACTTAATTCAGAGAAAATGTACTTCCGTTTTACTAATTTACATAATTCAGAGAAATGTAATGATCCTTCAATGATGGCGTGATGTTACGGGTCCAGTCATTGGTACAAAAAAGGTCGGGGACCGCTGGTCTAGGTCAATGGTTCTTAACCAATTTTTGACCTCAGTCTATTTGATTTGTATTTGGATGGGGTCTGCCTTCTTCTCTCTATATATTAGACCTTGTTAAAGAACTGACTGGTACATTACTGCCTCCATGTGGTCGAAAGCCATATTGAATCTGAATTTCTTATGCATAACAAATATCTGGTGTCTCCAGCTGATACCATACGCACTTACGCAGCTCTTGCGTAAGCCTGGAAAAAAACCTGAAATTTTTTCTGTGGCCCCTTTACATGGCGCTAGTTGCCCAAGTCTGTATTTTCAGTCAGGAATTTTTAATGTGTCAGTCTGGTACCTTATGAGGTCACAAAATGATTAATCATCATTCTGTGCCCCAAAATTATCAATACGTTTTCGCATACATGGTTCTAACCACGTTAGCCTTGCCTTGACTAATGAAGTTTTAAACAATAGAATCAAATGAAATATCCTTCCTTCTTTAGACTGCTTGAAAAATAATCAGATTAAAACATGAGACCGTTTGGTATAAATAGTAACAAGCCCTTCTGGGCAGTATAATATTCCTAAATAGCAACAACAAAACAGCAAAAAAAAAAAAAAAAACGACTTTAATTTGCATTAAACAGTTATTGCCCTTGTTCACCACTCTGCTTTAACAGAACAACACTAAATAATTTATGATTTTTCCAATTTGCTTTTTAATCTGGTTTGTGCCTCTGAACTCTCATTATCATTAGTGTACTTTTTTATGACTCGAAGTAGGCACTCGCGTCTACGGTCAAACCTGTGCTCATTTCAGAAAGTGCAATTAAATGACTACTGTGTGTTTTTCAAAGGGGATTAAAACTAGTGATCTTCTTATTGGAAGGCATGGGTTACCACTAGGGGCCTTGAAGTGATTAAAATTTAAAATTTGACTATGGACAGAGTAGCTTTGATCGATGACGAATAATTGCGATTGACGATTCAGAACGATAATTCACGACTAATCATGATTAATCACGATTAAAAAAATCATAAATGGATGGACAGTATTAGATATACAATACAGTCTATCTGCCCATATGTTGAAACATGACAATTTCGACATTATTATTATATTTACAAAAAATAAAATAATTATTTTTTTAAGCAGAATAATTGTATTACCTAACATAAATTCGTGTTACGAGAGAGGCAACTCTAAAAAGGACAAATTGTCTCTTAACCAGGGTGTTGTGGGTTTGCCTCCAGATTATTTAAGTGGCTAGGTCAGAAAGTAAATGGTACAACCTATTATTTACTAGGTCAGAAAGTAAATGGTACAACCTGTAAAGTGTCGTTAAAGTTTATCTTTAAATTAGTAAAACTTTTTTTTTACTGTGTCAACTGCGGCCCGGTACCAGATGACCTACAGAACAGATTATCTTTGAATGAAAAAAAAAATTAAAGGGATATGACTGCATTATTTTGGAATGAAGTAAATTAGTAAAACTGAAGTACCTTTTTTCACTGTGTCCCACTGCGGCCCGGTACCAGATGACCTACAGATCAGCACCGGTCCCTGGACCAGGGGTTGGGAACCCCCAACGTGGGCTTGCGACCCTTGTATTTGTCGGCACTGCATATCATGTTAACCATAAACAACGTTGTACTTTTTCAGAGATTGGCCAGCTTGTTCTTGACTTGCGTGGACTGACACACTCCGTTCCCTCTTCTTCAAAGTGTGAACCAGCTGGACCTAATGGACAGGCCAGTGTGAGTATCTTGACCATGTATTATTCATCACTCTCATCATTAAGAGGCCCTGCATCCTCTTTTATCTCTTCCTCTCCTGGCATGTTCCAGTTTCTTCCTCCCTAAGTTCCTGTTGTACTAATTCACCAGCGTGCAGTAGAATGTCGCAAAAACAGTTTGACTGTTTCTGACAGCAACACCCTTTACTTTTACTGGCCTCTGTATTAAACAAAAATTTCCCTCCATCTGTTTTACTGTATATCACCAACTAGGGATGTCCGATGTCAACGTTTTGGCAATATCAGATATGCAGATATTGTTCAAACACTTAACGTCCGATATCAACCGATTCCGATATAGACCTGGGAATATTTATTTATTCATTATTTATTAATTAAATGAGCCGCAATGCTGCCATCTAGTGACTTTCACTTTCATATACAGCCGTTTTGTCCCAAAACTATTTTTTAGGGCACACATAATTTTGCAAAAACCCAGGCATTGCGTTATCGGGTTTAGGAAAAAACGATAATTATTCATACGGATATTAAATAATTATGCTAACATCGGACTATATCGGTCGGAAAAATATTATCGGACATCCCTATTACCAACCACTTGTTGCTCATTTTTTTCAATGACGACCTGCTGTGATATTGTCGTACGTGATTATTTTGATACTGTTTTTTTTTCATACTGCTCAAATATCTACTAAGTGCTGTTGTTATTTCTTTACTGAGAGGGCGCTAAGTTCCACGCTTAGATTGCTGTGAATTATGGATACAATTATGGTGTTTTGTCAATGTTGTCTTTATGCCCACGAGGTTCACGAAGATGCACCAACTCTATGAATTATTCCATGTTTAGGAACGTTGAGTTACCTCAATCCACCATGTCTAATCACGATTAATCGTGATTATTGCATTATTGTCTGTATTGTCTTCTTCTTCACTGATGGTCAGTAGGCAGATCTAAGATTGAGGTGTACTCGGCGTGACATTAAGGGTCGCGTTTGTCCAACGTTACTCCAGCGTTTCAGAGCAGCCGCGATGCTCGGGTTGCCCTCCTGTTGCGCCCCTCGCATCATCGCCATGCCAACCTGTTCAAGCCCTGCTTCATCACGAGCGGCTCTTGGTGTCACTTGGGGATGTTTCATGTGTTCTGTGGTGTTTTTCTACCTTCACTCGCTCACCAGCATCCCCAGTTACAGCTCCTATTTATGGTACACTTGACGCTCGAAGCATCTCTCGCTTCCCCACCTGCTAGTAGGCTCGACGCCGACCTCCCCCCCCCGCAGAGAACCGTGTCCCTGGACTCCCCTTTATTACCATATCATCAGAGGTGCCAGAGGCATCTGACAATGCAGCATGCTGCCTGTATCTTTAAGAGAGAAAGGGTGAGAGAGGCAGAGAGAGAGAGAGAGAGAGATTTGTGGTAGTGAGGAAATAAGGTATGGAAGGAGCAAGTGAGAGAGTGTGGGTGAGAGAGTAGGAATTTATCAAAATCTGTGCTTCACTTTTAGCTGTGAGCTGAGCTTTTTTTTTTTAAATTTTTTTTTTTGCACCGGCATCCAGAGTCTCTCCAGGCGTAGACTTGGGAAGCTCCAGAACACCTTTGGCTCTCACTTTGTGCTATACACTCTGGCAGCCCGGCTCTACCGCTCTACCTCTCCTTTCCACACACACACACACACACACACACACACACTCACGTGCTAGCAGCCACACACGCGCAGTGCTGTCAGGAGCTGGACCACAGCCATCTCTAGAAGGAGGTTATTGTGGAAGACGAGGGGGAAAAAAAGCCAGAGTGAGAGCAAGGCGGCAGAGGAAGAGGAGTGGAACAGGAGAGAGCGCAGGAACCCGGCTCAAGGAAGGAGCAAGAGAGAGAGAGTGAGAGAGTGCCTTTGTGAAGAACAGCAAGCGAGGAAGAAGGGGGACACCAGGAGGAAAGTGGAGGAGGAGGAACGGAGAAAAAAGAGGAGGGAGAAACAGGAAACGTGATCACTTTCAGCTGCAGCGGTCCGTGTCGCAGCATGGGCAATGCACCATCCCAAGGCATGTCAACCTTATCTTCTTGCGTACATGTGTAGCAGGTATTTTTTTTGTCTTCTTGGCGGTGCCGTGCAGCCAGCCAGCCCTGCTGCTGCTCCTCTGATGGGGGGTTGGGCTGAGGGCTCGCGGTGAGCAGCATCACTGGAGGAGAGTCGGGCTGAAGGGCAGCAGCATCAGTCAATGGGCTGCAGGTCGGGGGAGTGGTATTCTCATCATTTAGATGCTGGGGACGCTGGGGTTCAGCCGCTATGGGTGGGAGCAGTTGTGGAACAACGGTGCCATCATCAGTGGAGCAGGTGGTGCTGGTGGGTGAAGGTGTGATAGAAGGTGGTGCCAGGAGAACGCTGCTTTTATCCCGGGCTCATTGCTGAGTTTTTTTTTTTTTTTTTGTATTGCAGTTGCTGCTCAGAGCCACATGGGTGACCTCTGAGAAGTGATCAGTGCCTGAGGTGTCTGGGTGTGTGCCAGTATTTTTGAATAGAGAAGTAGAACATTGGGATCTGGAGTTGAATCCAGATATGTTGATTTACAAAAAAAAAAAAAAAGATACTGGTGCAGATATGGGATGGATGGGGGAGGGTAGTGTAAATGGATGATTGGGTGGGTCAACTCCTTCCTGTGCAGCTCTCTTTCCCCCCATGAGTCTCTCTCTCTCTCTATCTCGCCCCCCTCTCTCTCACCTTCCCTCATCATTTACTTTATCACTCTACTCTCACTCTGTTTTTCCCCCTGACTCTTTAGTTGCCAAAAACCTACTCTTGAAAATTAACTCGGCTGGTTGTTGCTCCCTTAAGAAAAAGCTCATATTTATCTGAGAGTAAGTTATCCAAACAGTCATAGTTTATACTTTATTCTCTATATAAACCAATGTTTTGTCTACACGTTCACAATTTAAGAGGTGTGTAAAATTCTGAGTAAGATTAAGAGGACGAAAATGAGGTAAAAGTAAGACCGATATAGAGATTTGTCCTTGAGGCCGGAACATCAGAACTATTACACCTTGATAATGTGTTAACACATTGTTCAAATGACACAGTGTGGGTTACATTCGGAAAACTCTGAATTCTGTACGTCGTACAGTTCGGGTGCTAACGACTCTCAAATGTCTTGCACCTACTGAAACAGTTTTTTTTTTTTTTTGTCGGGTTATTGTGTTTGCTGCCATGACACTGTTTCACCTACAGGGGCAACAAATTAGACGGGGGACATTTTCGCGTAATTTTTATTTCGGTAATTGTAAGTGTTTTATTTTTTTCTTCATTTTTCAAAAAATGTCATTTTCAAAAGATGTTGATATGATGTCAAGCATTTCTAAATGATTATTTTGCAGTATTTAGTACTTGGTTCTGGTCGTCCTTACGTACGTCAATGCCTCTTGACTTCAGCAGAGGCTAAAAATTAAATGTTGAAGAATGATACGGACCCCATCATGGACTTTGGGGTCAGAGCGGTATTGAACCCGCAACCTGTTGTTCCTCTCGGGTTTCTCAAGCTTTGTTGTTGTGTTGTTGCCAGGTACTGGAAAAAACCTAGTAGTTATCTGCTGATACACGGAGTACACATGTTTATTAATAAGCTGTAACAATCGAGAAAAACCAAGCCCTCTGCCTCACCCTTTACCTCTCTCCTCCTCCCTTTTCCTGTTGCCGGCATTTGCACCCATGGACAATCTGGCTATAGTAGAGGGACGGAGTGAGACAGACAGAAAGACAGAAGGGATGAAGGACCTGGGAAAAATGAAGGGAAGTTTTAAACAACACAGGAGTACAAAAGAGTTGCCTCGTCGGTTGACAGGTGAGTTAGGGTATGAATGATTTAAGGTGGACATTTTGTTGAGTCGCTAAAAAAACAAAAACAAAACAAGAACAATTTCAATTCTTGGCAGTGGTAAAGTAAACAGCCATTTGAACTCGTTTGGCCATGATATAGTGACAGGAGGTACGTTTTAACTGTTGGGCGTTTGCATTTTGAATCCCTTGATTATATTAAATTCTCTGGTCGGTTGGACATGTGGTGATTTGAAAATGTAGCTGTTAAATGATTTAAGCAACAGGAATGCACGAAGAAGAATATTCAATGCATCTGAATAGGAAGCAACAGGAATGCACGAAGAAGAATAGCTCACATGTTCTTGAATGGTATCAAAAGAAAATGGAGAATCTTCTATTGGTCACTTTTACCTGTCAGACATCTGCTTTTGTCCTTCGTTAGTTGTATTGTCAGCAAACACTGCATCAGTAGTGTATGTTTTTCCCATCGGTTTTGGACTGTACAGTTATCCGTTTGTCCAGTGGTGTAGAAATACAGGTGTATTTATGATTGACAGGGGCAGGGTTTGACTGTGCCTCGCGATTCAAATGCTCACACGTATTTGAACACTAGATCCTGCTGCCTGTTGCTTCCTTTGAGGTTTATGTTCCTGCTACTTCGTAACAGAACAATCCAAGATTAAAGCAGCAGTGGTGCGAGACCGCTAGCATCAGTCTGCGTTTGTTAGACGTGTCTTTTTGGGTGTTTCGCTGCTGCTAAATTGTCCTTAATGTGGATTTTGTCTTCTGTTAGTGAAACTCTTGTGGGATGAGAGATGTGTATTTGAAGGGTGAGCTTTAATTTGGCTTAAAAGTATCCATTTTGTTAATTCTTTTTTTTAAATAATGTATGAAGCTCTTCAGGAATGCAATTTGTTACGAGAGATAACAAACTTACTGATTGAATTATTTCTGCTTGGTGTAAAAAAAAAAAAAATACTCCAAGCTTCAAAGTTTAGCTTAGCGGCGCTAGCTGGCAAAGAAATATGAATTGATTGGCGCGGCCTATCACGGCTCATAGATGCATCTCCTTTAAGCCCATTACATCAGTTGTACTAGTTCACGCTGTTCACGCTGTTAGGCTAAAGCATAAAGAATAGATTACACAGCATTGAGTATTAAGCTGTGAATTAGCCTGCTGCAGAGTGGATGGGTGTTGTCATGTTGCCACGTGGTGTAGCAGATTCAGGTGCTTTTATGTCTCTCTCTCTCTCTCTCACTTTTTCTCTCTCTCTCTCTCTCTCTCTGTGTGTGTGTTAGGCTCAGTACGAGCTAAGATTAGCTCAGATTTATGTCTGCTAGAACTGCAAACGCTCGGAAAATAAACTGACTTTTACTGATATCTTTTAAATCATGTTCAACATTTTGACACCTGCCTTGGCATTTTGTGCGACCAAAGTCACTCTGTCTCCGTCTTTTCTCTGACCTTATAGTCGGGCCTCGTGCGATCGCTATCTCGGAATAATCTGTAAAATATGCCTTGCCTTATATTAACCCCGTCTATTACGCTCAATATTTACTGGCAACTTGAATTGTTTCACGTTGACACGACTGTGCTGTGGTGAAGAAGATTTTTATTACTGTATTTTCCGGATTATAAATTGCACATTTTTTTCATCCTTTGGCTAGGTTTGCGACTCATATTCTAAGGTGTGACTTATATATTAAAATATATAATTCCACGTTGTTTTCACACTGACGGCCACTAGAGGGCACTCTAGGCTTGTGTACCAGTAACTGCTGCTCTTGTACCACAAAACATTTACATGTTTATTATTTTCATGCTGACAGCCGGGGCACTGATGCAATTTGTGTACCAGTAACTGCTGCTCTTGTATAACTAAAAATTTACATTTTTATTATTTTCATGCTGACGGCCGCTGGGGGCACTGCTGTGACTTATACTGCGGAGTGACTTATAGTCCAGACATTGCGGTATTTTTTTTTCCATATGTCTTACCTGTTTTATTTTCCGATTCCTATTAGGTAAATGCTATTTTACACTATTTAACAATATGGAGATCTTATGTCTTTCTACTGCTGCAGTAACAAGGACATGACCTTGTATGAAATTAATAATAAAACTAATAAGTAATGCTGTAATCTTATTTTATCAAGCAGCAGCGTGAGCACCGGCCAATCTAAAGACACATTCGTGCGTAGGCGTAGCTCCTAGAAGTATTTCAACATGAAAATGCAGGAAGTCTAATCCTAACAGTTGATTTTCTGAAAACAAATTTCTCTTTGATTTTTTTCAAAATGAAATTTTTGGCATTTTTTTTTCTCTCCACATCAGTGCCCACGTTGGATTAAATTAAGCGTTGTGACTCAACATAAATTAATTAAAGCTACGAATAATGCAATTCAGTTTTTTAAAGCCACCTCTTTGTTCGGCTTTGTTCATCAGACAGGTGCCCCGTGCTGTGATGTTCATCAGACAGTCTTCATGTACTTGCCTTTCTTTGGGTTCATTTGTCTGTGAATCACAAATTTGTTGTTGTGAACGTTAGCTTGTTGCTGTCAGGCATCTGTTGTTGGCAGCAGCCCACATCCCCTCCGTCTACGGTTTGTGCTTAGTGCACCTGCTTATTCCCCTGGTCTGTGCCACACAAAGCCCCACACATGCTGCCTCATGATTGGCCGACGATGATGCAATGTTTTGTGACATAGGAGAAGATGCATATTTGGAGGACATTGACCCTGCAGTGAGCGGAGTGGTGGAGATGTTGGAGTTAACCAGCTAAAAACAACACCATTGAGACATTACACGGACTTCCAGTCGTGCCACATATTCATGGGCACGGGTTTGTGCCCACGAATGAGGTCAAGCACATAATGGCTGTATGATATGTGATAGGGAAAATGCCAGACTTGGCCGTCCAGCCTGGTATGCCGTTTCCTATAATAGCTTTGCTTTGTGCACTGCCCTTGTCGGAGCAATTTGTAAAGCCAACAGGGCTGATATTTACATACGTAACCAAAACACGCGCGTGTGCAAATATCTGCTTTGCATCAGCACACAAAGGGACGTTTACCTACACGCAGCGTTTGGACATTGAGGAGGAAAACGATGTGGAGTAAAATGGAGGAGAGACGTCTTTGCATGTTGTTTTTTTTTTTTTTTTTTTCACATACACACGTGTTTGGTAAATGTGTTTCCACTACCACTCCCTGTTATTGATTGTCATGATGACT